TGAGGGACACCCGGTATAATGCATTTATCAATATTACAAAACCAATTTATTGAAATTAATGTACAAAAATTATTCTGGCAACAACCGCAAATCAATCAAACTTTTCGTTATGCTGATAATAAAAATCAATAACACGAATTCGTATTATTAATGTATACGTTTATTGGTCAATGAACAAGTACATCACTTTAATGTACACATCGAAGAAAAATTGTTAAATATAATTATTAACATTACGAATCCGATTTATTAATATTAATGTACAAATGATCATTGTCTCAACAAATTATTTTTTTAGGGAGACGTATTTTATTCATTATAATGACAAAATAATTTGTTTTGCCAATAACAATATTATTTAAGAACGCCAAGTTCGTAAAATTAACGTAATATTAATTATCGCAACGTACTAAACATTTAAAAAAACTGAACGAATCCAATAAGTTATGATTTGCAATTCGTTCCTTACGAATCTTGTTTACTTGTTTCTACCGCTTTCTGCTTGTTTCCAAGAATCGTTTCTACATTCTGTGCTAGCTCATTCGCTTATATAACGTGTTCCTTCGCAAAACGAAACTTCTGGGTGAAGTGAATTCAGTAAATTGTGCAATTTGGTAAGTAAAATACTGTTTTGTTTTACCTGTTACAAAAACTATTAAACTGTTGTAGATTTATATTTGAGCTGAGATAATTTTTGATAAAATAAGTTTTGTTCTTCAAAGTGCTCAACTTTGCTTGTTTCTTTTTTTAATATGTCTATTAATATTTTAGTAGGATACTTAAATTGAGGTGCATTGATAATAATAACTTTTGGTAGGTATTTTAAGTTGTTAATAATAATGATTTGATCATTAACATATTATAATCTCTCTTCCGAAGATTTTGACCATGCTTGGAGAGCCTGCAGACAGTTAAGGTTTACAGACCTTAAAACGGTAACCTCAACATTATTTGAAAAATGGCCATTTTATAAAAGGCCATATGGGTTTCGTTTGGTATAAACAATATCTCTTTCGTAATTAGGTATACCAGAAAAGCTTACAACCTGTTATTTTACAGATTAACATGGACATTTCGGCAGGGTTTGATACTGATCACGATAGTTTATTAATGAATTGGAAGCAATGTGAGGAGATAATTATGGATTCCTAAGTGACAAAAATCATGTTAAAGAAAAAGGCATACGCAACATCGTAAATCAATTACGAGAAATGTGTACCGATGATGATGAAGGTGAGTTCATCTAAATATGCTTTACTTAATTGGATTTCTTTACAACTTGTTTGAAGTTATTTTGTTAATTCTAGATGGTGGCGTAACAGCCGCTATGTGGCTGCACTAATACAACCTTTTGTGGTGGCAATTAGCGAGGATATTTTTAAATTAAAGTTTAAAGTTGCCATAAAACACCTATTTAGATATGATGTGTTGCAGTACAATAAAGCCTAAAAAATGAATTTGGTGTTTAATTATCTGATCAGTATTACCTTATTTATGTTAGAAAATTACTGAATATGAAAGGATAGAAGATACCCTGTGATCAACGAATTTCTTTCAAAAAAATTATGATAAGAAAAACTTATCAACTACCTTATCATACTTACAATTTTTACCACTTGCCACATTATAGGTATAATCGAGGACACAAGTTTTCATTTTCATAGCTTCCCTTGATAGAAATTATTAGCGTACGATGTTTATAACTACCGTCCTGCCGTGACATTAAATGCCGTGATTAGGTAAGTCAAGGTACATAGTGTTAATTAACAGTTAGCATTAAAGCAACAAATAACATCATTGTCCCAACGTATAATGTTCATGTACTTGATGAACAATATTTATTGGATAAAGGAATATTTTATGAAGTAGCTTCATTAGCAGGATTAATATGTACATTATAAGAACGTATGATGTTATTGGTTCAATGAACAGCTTTAATTGATACTGTGAACTAGCATCGTTTAGAAAGATAAACCTGTATATAATTACATTGTATGATGTTATTGCAGCAATGAACATTTTTAATCGATACTAAACCTTGAACTAGAAACATTCGGGTTTAACCGTCTTAAGAGGCGCACGGCTAAACCCGTATGTATCTAGGTCTAGTGCTAGTGTTAGTTCTAATTTTAAATAGTTGTTCCGCAAATATCTTAGCCTATGATACAGATGGTTTAAGTTATATGGATTTAATACAAAAAAGTAAATAATAAAATTCCGATAATGAATTTCAATACTAAAGTCCCTAGATTTACAAAGTACCGCGGTTTGTCGCCATTTTGGTTCGAAAGTCAAGCGGGAAATTTAAAACTATGTCGTTCTATTGATAACATTACGCCAAAATTCCCTTCTTTTTCTCGTGGTACTCTAAAGAGTCGAAAGCCCTTCTTACTGCTATTTGTGTAACTCCTAAGGCAACAAGACGGCAATATTTTTGTAAGTAAGTGGTGAGATGCAGTAACATGTTGTCAAACCGCCATTTTGGCTTGAAAACAGGCGTCATGAACCGCGGTACTTTGTAAATCTAGGGACTTTATTCAATACTTCTAACTAACGCCATCTTTCGCCCGACTATCGTTTCTATCGGCAATTGCGAACTCACAGTCCGGCGCGTGTCAAGCACGTGAACTGGAAAGTAAAGTCACGTAAAGTAATGGTTTCACTCAAATTTGATAGTTCATGAAGCAAGATTTGATATTTCTCGAATACAGTATGTTCAAAAAATGTAAAAAACACTTCAAATGACAACATGATGTTTTTGTCGGATATTTTGACATTTCAATCAATTCAATTTTCCATCAAAAGTTAGAGACCACCCACAGTTTTCAAAAGTAAAAGTTCTGGATACCAGCATAAATTCTTATGAAATGTTGAAGACTGTCGACATCCCTTTTAATAGTTTTCAAATATGCAAGAATGTATGTAGGTAAATCCTGTTTCATATGTTTCATTTAACAACGCGGATGTGGAACACTACGTTATATGGGACTGAATAGGACCGAAATGAAAACGTTACGATGGTCGTGACGAATGACAAAGGTACATAGGATCGATGGATACATGTTACCCCAACGTTATGTGCAGAGACAAACATAACGTTGTAAGAAAAGCTCTATACCTCTCGATGAACAATAGAGGAACAGCGCGAAAATTATTTATCTAAAGCGATAACCCAAAACAGAATGTCGTGGCGCAAAAATAGTAAAAAACCAACCGCACAAAAAATCGGAAGGAGCAAAGAAGAAGAAGAAGTATCTATTCCTCCATTAGCAACATGTAGTCTTTTATTAAAAGTGTCTAATTATCTGTAAGCAGTGCCTAGGATTGGATTCGCAATATTTAATCGTTTATTAGTAGCATCTAGTCTTGTATCAGCAGTATGTAGATCTCGCTCAGGAGTTCGTAAACAGTATCTAGTCCATCATTAGTGAACTTTAATCTTTTATAAGCAGTATGTCCTCTAAAGGAGTGGTCTTCTGTCATTAGTTTCTTCTTCTATAAACAGTATCTAGTCTTCCATTAGCGATATTTAGTCATTTATCAGCCATATTTAAAGTTCTATAAGCTGTATCTTGTCTTGCGTTAGCAATGTCTAAGTAGTCCTCCTTAAGGAGACTTAATTTTTTTTGTATAAATAGTATCTGATACTCCATTAGCGATATTTAATCTTTTATTAGTAGTTTTATGCAATCTTATGTAAGCAGTATCTATTCTTCTGCTAGGAGTGTTAACTTTTTCTACTGTAAACAGTATTCACTTAGTAACATTTAGCAGTTTATTAGCAGTATCTAATGTTCTGCGAGCAGTATTTAGTCATATTTTATGGGAATTATTTTACTGCATAATCCTTTAAAGACTAGATTTCACATGTAAGAGACTAGATACTGATCTCTTACATGTAAAATTTAGTCTTTTGCTGGCAACATCTACTTTTCTATTAATATTATCTTGCCTTCTGTTAGGAATACCAATTTCTCTGTAATCAGTAACTGGTCTTCTAGCAGCGTTATTGTTGTCATTCAAACGGTGTCAATAGTGTGCACCACCAACTCTCTGCGTCGTACGGAACCCGTTAGTGATATGGACCACATACCTAAATCGTATTATATAGCCACTACGTAACCCTCCGTTTATATTATAGGAGCCCGTAAATATTACTTGTATTAAAGCAGGGGCATTAAATACATAGCATTAAATTACTATAAAGTAGATAGTAAAATTAAGATTTTGTAGAAGAACCAACCCAACCCAACTTAAGGATAAATATCAAAATAATCAATATAAAAAGCTTAACATTTTTCGTGGAAATAAGAACACAATTAATTTGAAAACAGTAAGCAAAAATTAAAGCAGTAAATGATAAATCGACGTCGGTGTGTATAAAATGAGCTAAAATATTTTTAATTCATTGTATAGTTTTAACAACATTTAATTCATAATCATTAATTTTATCCAATAACTGTAAATGAGCAAAAAAGAACTTTATATTCAAGCAATGTTTTGGAGTAAAGAAATAGAAGAGGTAAAGCAAAAAAAACATGATTTTAGAAATTTATTGGAAAAATAAGAAAAATGTCATATTTAAGAAATTTTAGTATCAATAAATTTTTGATATGCTGGTGTCGTGAAAATGCCATCGATACAGTTAATTAGAAAATAAGCGGGTGAAGTGTATGGGCTTTTATAATGCTTTTACGAGTTTTCCAGTGTTGGGATAAAGCGCGAAAAAGCGAGACAGATTTTATTAGTTCATTTTATGATTTTCCTCTTTTCAACCTAACACACACAACAAGTGCCCGTGGGGTTCTCAGAAAATAAGCTACGAGAAATGTAAAAAAAGATTGCTTCAATTGAAAACATACATAATAAAAGTTCCCTTTAAACTTAATCAATTTTCCTGTCAAACACAACAATCCAATTTGAAAATATCTAATCTTAAAGGGTTTCAAAAATAAATTATTATAAATTTTAAATTAAATATAAGATCAAAAAATACTCACCTTTTTATTTTGAAATTTTCAAAATGTTAATTTATAAAAAAAGCAAAGGTTAAAATAAAATAAAAACTCGCGCGCATTTCGGATTTAAGACGAACGATCTGTTCACTTTTGAAGGGCTGCACAACGACTGGCTCTGTAAGGGGATGAAACATTGGAAAACTCCAGTTGTTGCGCGTGCTCAGGTGCAACCGGTAATCGGAAGTTCTTGGTTTGCGATTGAAAATTTAATTAAAGAAAAACATAAAGATATCTCCTCTAATTTATCGCCTCAACGTTTTTCGAGTCCTTTTTTGTTATTATTACAATTAATGAATTCAATTAGACAGAGTGGCTTGTCTAATTGAATTGGTAACTGACGATTGAAACACGAATGATAAAAGCTGTGTAACATTACAGTTTTATGATTTTTTTCACTTATTAATTGAAAAATCGTTTTGAGAACGTTAACGTTTTAGCATTTTTATTAAAATATATTAGCGACTAATTTGAATTGAATTTTTTATTTGTCTACATAATATTAAGTGTCATTCATCAAGTGTACCAAAATGTTGTTTGGAAACGGTTTCGATAACCATTATTAACTCGCTTTTGGATAATATTTCTGCCAGAAAAGGATAACATTATTCGTTGATCAAAAAAATACTTATTACCATTGTATTTTTTATTTGCAGTCTGCGCCTTTCAATGTTTTGGTGAACACATGTTATGGTTATGTCTTTAGGTAAGTGATACATGACTCTATTAGGGTAGAATTAGATGTATTTAAATAGTTTAGTTAAATGTAGTAAATATTTTTTTTTATCAAATTTGGTGCTATTAGGGTCTATTAGGCTAACTCATCAGTATGTAATGGGTAGTTTGGATTTCCTAGTGCGATGCAATTAATTCACATAACTCCACATTCGCAACGGGTTGGTTTTTGGAGAAAATAGAAAATGTCGGCAATTCAACTTGAGGGAACAATATATTTTACTATGTCTAGTAGACTAGTTTGGCATACAACATTTACGCCAGGCACTATCATTTACTTATTGGTCGTATCCTCTGGCAGTACTGCTTCTACTTCCTCAATATCTACGTGACCTTTTTGTTCTGATTCTTTCTTACTGCCTGATAAATTAGTCTTTACAATAATGCACGAAATAAACTTTTAGATTGTGTTGAAAGCAATGATGAATCTTCTTTATTAGTTAGTAATTAAGAATTTATTGTATACAACAATCTGTCTACAATTCTACAATTCTTTACATTATTAAAATATTATTTTCATCCTCTACCCTTTTCCTCCATTTCCACACCATCGGCTCCTCGGCCCAATCATCCCCTCATCCATCCCTTTGTCTCCTCACCCCCACAACCATTCTCATCCATCGTTTCCCCTCTCCCCCCTCTCCTAAGATCTGCCCTGGGTCCAACTCCTCCTCCCTCAACTCACTGCACCCATTCAACATATGTTCCACCGTTTCCCATTCCTCGCTGCATAGCCTACACCACCTCTCCTCATCGGCCATCCAGTATCTGTTAGCTCTCTCCTCGTTTCCACAACGGAACATCATCTGCCCCATACATCATCACACTGCTAACCAGACCTTCAAACATAATCTTCCTCGCTGCCACATTCCTTCCAAAGACTCTCTTCCCCCAACCCCATACTTGTCCCATCACCTTATTCGCCTTTTTTGCCATAGCTATTACATGCGACCCCTCCCTGTTGTCCTCCCTAAACACATACCCCAAGTAAGTATACTCTCTAACCTCCTCGATATCTTTTCCTTCCCATCTCCAGTTTTCTGTTCTTTTTCTCCCACCCTTACAAAACTTCATCATCCTTGTCTTCCCCGCATTCACTTCCAGCCCCTTCCCCCTAAAATATCTTTCCAATGTCTTTATCATATCCTTCATCTCCGCCGCTTCTCTCGCCATGACCGCGATGTCATCCGCGTATGCTAACATATGCACCTTTCTACCTCCCACCACCAACCCTCCCATCTGCCCCTTCCCCAATCTATCCTCCAGGTCCGCCGTATACAGTGCAAACAGACTTGGGATCAGCGGACATCCCTGCCTCAGTCCCGTCGTCGTCCAGAACACGTCGTTCAGCTTATCTGCCACTTTTATCCTAGCCATAGTCTCCGTGTATATTTCCTTCACTCTCGCAATTAGGTGTTCCGTGATCCTCCTCCTCCCCATCTCCTCCCACAACTTTCCCCTATCCACCTTACCAAAAGCCGCCTTCAAATCTATAAACAGGGCGTACAATTTCCCTCCCTTCTTATCCAGCTCTCTATCTGCCAGATGCTTCAACACGTACACGTTGTCGATTGCTCCCCTTCCCTTCCGAAAGCCTGCCTGCCCATCCGTCAAAATTCCCCCCAATTCCATCTCCTCCTCCAGTCTTCCCAGCAGTATGTTCGTGTATACCTTGTATGCCGAGTCTAGTAGGTTAATTCCCCTGTAGCTCTCTACCCTTCCCTTATTACCCTTTTTATATACTGGGCAAATTATCTCCACTTTCCATCCCTCCGGAATCCCACCCTCTCTCCATACGTTATTCATCCCCTCCAACAACTTCACTCTCACCACCCTTGATGCTTCCAATCATGCCTCGTTCTGGACCCCATCTTCCTCTGGCGCCTTTCTCTTCTTCAATCCCCTAAGCACTGCTTCCATCTCCTCTTCTGCTATCTCCTCTCCCCCATCTCCCTCATAGCCTCCCAAACCCGTTAGCCTCGTTTCAACCCCTCCCAATAATCCCATAAAGTAACTCTTCCGTTCTGTCATGTGTATTTCGCTGGTTATCCTCTCCCTACCCTTCTTTCTCTTTTTCAGATACCTCCAGACCTCCCCTTCCCTTGTTATCCCTCTAATCTCTGCCGCCTCCTTCTCCCTCAGTTCTATTTTCTTTCTACTGCATAACTCTCTGTATCCTCTCCTGGCCTCCCTATATCTATCCACCCCTATCTTCCCCCGTCTCCACTGCCTCAACCTCCTTCTCGCCTCCCTCTTCGCCTTCTTGCACTCGCCATCATACCAGTCGTTCCTCCCCACTCTGCCCCCCCTACGTACACACTCCCTTTTCAGTGTTGCCTCCCGCACTACCTGGATAAGTTCTTCCAACCCATTGATCTCTTGTATCCTCTGTTGCTAAGTGTCGAGGTTTCCCCTGTAGAATGCTACCCCTTCTTCTGACCAGTCTGTCCTGATGAACTTGCTTCCCAGTTCCGCTCGCCTTATGCCGCCCACCCCCTTTACCTCCACCTCCAATGGTTGGTGATCCGACTCTACCGCTTCTCCCACTTTAAACCTTTCCACCTTCTCCCACATTTCCTGATCCACCAGTACATAATCAATCACAGATGTCCCCCTCGCCCCGATGTAAGTATACTCCCTTTATTAGATAGTAATTCTATACTGAAAACAACACAAAACTTATATTGAAAGATAAAATATTTTTCCAATGATTTTGTTATTATCGTTAGTGTTGTGCTTGTGTGTACAAGTTATTCTTCAAGATATACTTCTCAATTTCGGCGTAATGTATTAATACATAATATATTATATTTTTAATATCCACGATAATTTAAATAAGTTAAAGTAATGTTTACTTCTCAACGTTAATTTAAAAAATATTAAACAGCTGTTAAGAATAGGGTGTTTAATCTGTTAGTCGTGAGTTATTTGAGTTGGTCAATCGAAAATCGATTCGAATCAATCGAAGAAAGATAAGGAAATGAAACAGATCTTATGGAAATTACGAAGCATCGACAACATGAATGAGAAAACTAACATCGGCAACAAAATAATAATAATGACAATTAAATGAGAAAGAAAAAGAAGACACACAAAGAGAACAACAGGAGGAGTAGGAGCAAAAATACATGCACCAAGCACAGTCAAAAAACATTTAAATAAAGATGTAGTGAATAACAATATGTTTAGTGTTAATCATGACGATCCTACATTAGGAGAAGAATTAAGTGAACAGAAAATTACAGATATATAATCAAAAGCATATTTAACGTAGTTGCAAATATTGAAAAACTGAACTTTACTGCATCTAAACTGTTTTACAAATCACAGAGCAGATATGCCGCGAAAACGATATTTTATAAACATTTAATGTCTATAAAATCAGTAGGTATCAGATGTACTTTACCGAAAATTTTGTGTCTTAGGCAGTCTCTTGCCACGCATTCACACAGTATATTACTCGTTACAAAGTCGACAAGTTTGATCCTCAGCTTGTCCAATGTAGAAGAGGTGATATTTTAGGGGAGCATGGCCGGTCATGAAGCCTGAGAGCGACCTTAGATCCCAGTTCTGTCTTACTTTTGCGACGGAGTTATCATACTCTTCCTAGTGACCTGGAAGTTCTTTCTAGTGTAAGGCTACCTTTGAGGCCTTCCAACTATTGATTACCAGTTTTAAGTGGCTTTTTTGTAGTCTACAACAGGGTTGGCGTCCAATAAAGAGCGTTTTCGCTCCCTCTTTTGGCAGCTTGTCCTCCTTTTCATTTCCCTTAATGTCTCTGTGACCTGGATTAAACCATAGAGTAACATCATTGCCCCTAGCGAGTTCTCTCATGGTGCTGGTAAACTCTCTGACCACTGCGGAGTCACACGTGTAGGTCTGAATTGCCTTTAGGGCGGCCTGATTGTGTTTGGCTATAAACACAGTGGAAATTTTTTTGGATGCATAGAACTTTTAGTAACATTTGATCCCATCTTACAACATTTATCGTCAAAGTATTGAGTTTCAATCTATTATAGTACATTTGACGCCCGATATCTCCCATACGGATCAATTAACTATTGTAGTTAGATATATCAATAAACACGAAAGTGCCGTTGAAAGGATTTGAATGTCTTTATATAATGCTGGTCATAGAAACGTGGAAACGGAAGACTGTAATTTAAAACTATTATCTGATTCAAATATTAATTAACGAGATTCTAAACGATAATTTTATGATAATGCTTCTAATTCGGCCGGTATTCTCCAAGCACACATTAAATATAAAAATATATTTGCC